CAGAGCATCGCCCAGGCTGGTCAGGCCAGCGCCAGTCACAGACCTCGGCTCTCTCTGGCCTCCCAGTCTCTTCCCGGAGCCATCGCTGTCCTGTCCTGGGCACGGCTCAGTCCTTTGCTCTGCAGGCCAGGCCACGCTGAGCTCACAGCCCTTCAGGCCCACCCCACCCCCCCGCCTTGAGTCAATTAACAAATCTTGCCCTGGCCCTCTGGCCCCCTTGTTGATCTGGGTCAGTTTCAGCCAGTTCTGATCTTAACGACTCTTCATTCCACCCCCACAGGGAGGTGACCCCCCCCATCCCCCACATCCTGCCCTGCGACCAAACGTAGCCTTTTTCCCACGCTGGGGAACCACACGACGTATAAGGGGAAACCGAGGCACACGCAGGCAGCGTAAAAATATTCCAGAAAACTCCCCCTGTGTCACGTCTCTTCCAACCGGAGCAGGGTCACTTTAACCAGTGACCTGGGGAAGTCGAACCCTAACGGTGAACCCAGCGTCTCTCCCGGGCCTGTGGGAGCTGGTCTGCCGGGCACTGCCAGGGGTCTCACTCAGTCAAACTGACGCTTCCCAGTGCACGGTTCCTGGCCCCCACGAGGGCTGGCCTGTTCCATATCACATGAGGAGCTTCCTTGTGACCCTCCCCTCCCAGACCCTTTGGGTTTGAAATGGGGCTGGGATCCTGCTACTGCCCCATCCCCATTGTCTGCCGGGGAGCGAGGAGGGCCATGAACCCACCTTCCTCCGGGCCGCCACCCCACCAATGTCTCCCCATTAACCTTCCGCTCCCTCTGGGGATCAGATGGGTCTGAGCCCAGGCGAGTTCAAGAGGACGTGGTTACCGGTACCGGGAGTGGGAGCCCATCTGTCCCCACCCTCTGTGCCCCCGAGGCTGGGTGCCTGCTTTCCTCCAAAGGTTCAGCCCTGGCTGGACAGCCCCTCTGCCCACGCAAACCCTGCGCCATCCAGCCTGGGGCAGCCTGCCCGCTGATACCCTGATTCCCTACAAGAGTTGCACCCCCAGTCCTGGTGATCCCTCGGTGGGGGGTCTGCCGGGCCGGTTGCTCCCCCCACTCTTGGTTTACCCGAGTCCCACTCTTGGGACCCCTCCGCTGGTTCCCAGTCCCAGCACCCAGCGTGGGGTGCCTGGCACTGCCTAGGGAAGGCAGAGCGAGACAGGGCCAGAAACTGGGGGGTTCTCCAAGAGCCTGTATGAAGTTGGGGTGTGGCCCACACCCTGTGGTGCCGTGACATGCCCCCAAAACACGTAGACGCGCCCCCTGCTGGTTTGTACGCTCTGGCAGAACCAGGAGTGTTGCGTGCAGGAGAACTCCCCCACCCTCCCAGCCATGAAATGTGAGGGAGGGGCTGGGGCTGGCACAGGTGTTGCAGTGCCCCCTACAGACAGGCTGCAGAGCGGCGCCCATCAGGGCTTGTTGGCGCTGGTAACCGCTCAGGGTGGGGTGCGGGCGTCATATGTGTCACAGCCCCTCCCCTCTGGGGTGTGGTCTCAGCCCGCTCGGGAGCCGGGAGGGTGCCAAGGGGGAGCCCCACAGGAAACCGAAATGAGGGGGGCTGTCAGATGGGGAATCCTCCCCCAGCTCCGTCCAGGCGGGTGTGGGTCAGTGGGTGGAGGGAGCGGGCAGAGCCCCCCACCCAGCGTGTCCGGGAACGCTGACGGCCTGCTGATGGAGCCGCGCTGGCACCGGCAGCCAGCCGTCCTATCACCCAGGGCTTGGGGTACAGTCAGCGGGGCTGCAGCTTCCCGCTCACAGAGCCTGAGCTCCACACGCTGCCAGAGCAGGATGGAGCCGCCCGGAGCTGGCGACTGCTCCCTGCCCCTGCTGGGCCGCGTGGCGGAGGGGAGCTGGTGACAGCCATCTGGGGTGTGCGGGCGGTGAGGCCCTGGTGCTGGGCACCTCGTGTGGCTGACGCTGTCGCTGGCTCGGCTCTGGCTGGGCGGAGGCAACTGGGACAGAGCTGGGGAGACGGCTGTGACGGGTTAGGTCACAGAGACCCCCTTGGGACTGCCACCTGATGTGCTGAGACTACCTCTGAGCCCGTTTTCCCTGCCAGCTTGGGACTGCAGTACCCTGTCTTGTTGAGCCAGACACGCTAGCCTGCTGCAACACAGACCCAGGTCTGAACCACGTCCCCACAAAGCTGCAGACTTAACTGAAAATGGCTTAGCAAGTGCTCCTGTCTCCAGCACCCAGACACCCAGTTCCCAATGGGGTCCAAACCCCAAATAAATCCGTTTTACTCTGTATAAAGCTTATGCAGGGTAAACTCATAAATTGTCCACCCTCTACAACACTGATAGAGAGATATGCACAGCTGTTTGCTCCCCCAGGTATTAATCACTTACTCTGGGTTAATTAATAATCAAAAATGATTTTATTAAGCATAAAAAGTAGGATTTAAGTGGTTCCAAGTAATAACATACTGAACAAAGTAAATTACCAAGCAGAATAAAACAAAACACGCAAATCTAAGCCTAATACATTAAGAAACTGATTACAGATAAATCTCACCCTCAGAGATGTTCCAATGAGCTTCTTTCACAGACTAGACTCCTTCCTAGTCTGGGCCCAATCCTTTCCCCTGGTACAGCCCTTGTTCCAGCTCTGGTGGTAGCTCGGGGATTTCTCATGACTGCAGCCCCCTTTGTTCTGTTCCACCCCCTTATATACCTTTGGCACAAGGCGGGAATCTTTCATCTCTTTGGGTCCCCACCCCTCCTTCTAAATGGAAAAGCACCAGGTTTAAGATGGATTCCAGTACCAGGTGACAGGGTCACATATCCTGCGAGACTCTAAGCCTCCATTCTTCCTGGCCTGACTCACAGGAAGGCTTGCAAGTAAACAGAGCCAGCTACAGTCCATTGTCCTGGTTGATGGGAGCCATCAAGATTCCAAGCCACCATTAATGGCCCACACTTTGCATAATTACAATGGGCCCTCAGAGTTATATTTTATATTTCTAGTTTCAGATACTAGAGTGATACATTCATACAAATCGGATGATCACACTCAGTAGATTATAAGCTTTGTAATGCTACCTTACAAGAGACCTTTTGCATGAAGCATATTCCAGTGACATTATATTCACACTCATTAGCATATTTTCATAACACCGTATGGAGTGCACCGTCACAGGGGCCGTGTGGCTAGCACGGCTGGGCAGCAGGGGGCTGCAGGCCAGGGGCCCAGGCCGAGAGATGTTGGGATGCGGGGGCCCCCAGTACGAGGGCAGGAGACCAGGCCTGGTGCCTGGGGGTTGCACTCGAGAGAGACTCAGGCTGCCTGTAGCCGTTCCCCGGTCTCTAGAGCTGCAGGGCTGACAGGAGGAGATGGGAATCCTGCTGCTGGTGCCCTGGGGCCTGGATCCCACGGGGCTGAGAGTGGGGGATCCCCGGGCACAGACCCTGCTGGGTTTGGGGGGCGGAGTAAATCCCAGTGAGATCCAAGGCCTCTCTCTCTCCGCCTCTCCTCCCAGTGCCCTCCAGGCAGCCCTCCCATTCCCTCTGCCCCCTCCACCTTCCTCAGCAGGGCTCCCACGCACAAGGCTCCTCCAGGCTGCATGTGAACACAGCCCCTGGCTGGGCCGTGGGCCAGTGCCTGGCGCGCCATCCCCAGCACAGCTGCACAGAGCTGTCAGGGACAGCCGGGGAGAATCCTCAGGCGACCCCCCAGCTATCCACCCCCCAGCCCAGCGGGGGCTGGCTGGGGCCCCAGTATCCAGCCCCGCACTGGGGTGAGGGGATGGGGCCGGGGGGTGGCTCTTCCTTCCTATTTCTTCTACCTCTCAGCTCCCACTGGGTCACCGTGCACAGGGGCAGCGGCCCATGGCTGGCTGGGGGCATGAGGATTCCCAGCTCCCTTTTGCTCAGGGTCGGCTCCAGGCCCCTTGGGATTTGGCATCAATCCAGCCAGGGACTCGGCGTGAAAGTGGAGACCAGGGGCTCCCGCCTGGGCCGACGGCTCTGCAGACGGAGGGGGAGCAGCGGCTGGGGAGAAAGCGGGGGCCGGGGAGATCCGCATTGCTAACCCCCCCACACCCCGCTTGCTTCGCAGTCATTGACCTGCTGGAGGCACTGAACGTCACCCGTTCCGTCCGGGGCGTCAGCAGGGCCGCGGGCCCCGAGCCGGGCGTGCCAG